CATGTTGTCGCCATCTACTGCCTGAAACCATCGTCCTTTGCGGGCGGGACGTCGCACGCGACGCCCAGCAGCGCGGCAAATTACGATCCTCTTGTCACATACCCGGTTTAATGCCATAGCTGTGTCGACTCAACTAGTTGCAAGTACTCACTGGCTCGCGCGGATGATGCGCCTCGCTCTCTCGAATTTCGAGCTACATCTGAACTGGTATAGGAATAAGTAAACTCACAGTAGCAAGGAGTTCCATTCTTCGGCTGTCCATAATATTTCTGATCACAGCGGTCGCAACTAGCTCCACTGACACCTTTTGTTCTGCAGTGACAAGAGCCCGTGATATGATCACAGGTGTCCGCCTGTCCGTTACATTGGCAAGCTGCAATGAATCAGTAAAATGACTTTTTGCAGCGCCTTCTGTAAAACTGGACCAAAATTGATAGAAAAAGATGTTTTTATAAATAATGAAAAATGAAACCAATGTTTGGAGGAACCGGATGTCATTGAACAACTAAGACGAAGATGATGAACTGATAGAAATGTAAGAATGCATTCATACTTTGCGTGGGCGTTGCAAGCGTGCGGCAGCGTTTTAAGCGACTGGGAAAGAATAGGTATCGATCAAAAAGCTTGAAACGCTAGGTCGATACGTATATCTCCTAGTCGTTTAAACGCTGGCGCACGATCAAAATGCCAGAACAATACCTTTACTTCCCTAGTCGCTCACAACGCTGACGCATAGTATGAACGCTCTCCAGGATGAAACGTGTTCCATCAAATTCTCTTAAGCAATAATAAACTTTCACCTGCACAATTGTCTCCATTCCGTGGGTCGCCATGATATCCAGGAGCACAAATTTCACAATGCTTTCCCATAGTATTATTTTGGCATTCACCGCAAACTTCCTGGACACCACCAAGGGTGTGGCGAGTCTCGTTGCACATCGAATGCCCATTACACTGGCACGCTGGAAAAAATTTTGACTGAATTTGAATAGTGTAGTTTAAATTAACACGTTTGAAGTAAACTATGTGTCATTAAATGTTAGCTATCGGCAAAACCGCTGATATTTTCCAATGCTTCTGGAGAAAGAAAAAACGATACTAAATATGCCGGTACTAGAAGGATTGCTGTCCTAATAGATTTGTTTTTTTTTTACATTTTATTAATTTCACAACATGAACCCCGCTTTGTAAACCACAATAAAACTATGCCAAAGTCTCCTGGAGTGATAGCGAATGGGCTAAAAATCTGGGATGCCACTGGGCGAGTAAATAGCTGCACATACCTGGACAATCAGTGAAGTACCACTGATGAGGATGAAAATCTGGAGAACGCTCCAGTGGACCACGTGCTGATCCTCGAGTGCATGTTCCAAGTCCTGTACGTGAGCCATCATCGAGCCATCCACATTCTGGGGACAGCTGGCACTCGGCACACGTCTTGTGCGAAGAACAATTCGACGACTCTTAAAACATGCTACATTTTTTGTGGCGCCAGCGAATACGGTAGCGGTGCGATCTCGCGAAGGCAAGCGTCGACGCGCTGTAACGCGCTACAACTGCAACATCGCTCAAAGGCTATAGACACGAATGCACCCACAGGCAGGAATCGATCGACGCTGGGTGCTCATGTATTGGGAGTATGGTGATTGTTGCCCAATCAGGCAGTCTAGTATCGATCGGCAATGGCCATTAGAGCAGCGCCGGCAGCGCCGATCGATTCCTGTCTGCGGCTGATTTCGCTTCTACAGGATTGGAGCGCTGCTGCAATTTTAGCGCGTCGACGCGCGCTATCGCGAAGCCTGAGCCCTGCACAGTCGCGACATCAACATATATAGAATGGAAAACAAAACTCGGAACAAGACAAAGTAATTTTGACACAGTTTACAACGTAAGACAAAATCACCAGAAAGTGCGCGACTTTGGCGCTTTCACTTTCGCTTCGACTCTTGCGGCTTTTTTTTCCGCCAGCTGCACACGACTATGTGCAATCTACCATCACAACGCGTTTAGTTCGAGAAGCGAAACTTTTGAAAAAATATTCAGAAAGCGAGATAGCAGTGGTAAAAACATTGAACCTACCTATCCTACAAGATTTGGAGAAAGCAAAACCATGAGCATGACCAGCAACCCATGAGTGACATTGGCCGTAGGCGAAGGATAGAGCGTACGCCTCCATATTAATACATCTTAAAACTGATTTATAAACAAAGCAAAACGAAAAAAGAACTCAAATTCTGTCTCTAGTGGGGAACTAACCTGCTAGTACTTGGACACCACATGCATTTCTGTTCTTGTAGACATTCACCGCATGTGTGCAATGACGAACACGGTAGAGGACAGTATGAGAGATTTTGACCAGGAGGAATTGGCGGTGGCGTAGGTGGGCAATCGTAGAGGTAGACTGGAGGAAGCGACGCGGTCCAATTCACGATCCAGCTGCTCTTTTCTCAGTAGTACTGTAAATGAAGAAATAAGTACTGCATCACATATTCTAAAGTCCTGCAGCGAAACTCGGTGGTGCAGACATATAGAGGACAGTTCTTGCTAAAATGTCTGAGAACAGACAACTGCGACCATGAGAATGCTGAATCGCAACTACTAAGTCGATTACAAGAGACAAGTGCGCGCTGGGTGAGAACGTTCGAAAGCGATGGAGCCTCTTTGATGCAGTTCTGAGCGCGTTCATACTTTGCGTCAGCGCTCAAGGGTTCGGCAGCGTTATGAGCCTTTTGAGCGTACAGCAGCGTTTCAAGCCTCTAAAAAGCGTAAATATCGACCTAGCGTCTCGAATGTATGCCATGGTCCAGAAAAGGAGAGTATGGGGATGAACGAGGTTAGCAGACTACTGGATTAGGCGTTATGAAACTGCGGCATATGCGACTCCACTCTACGCGCGTAAAATGGACTGCACAGTTCCGCATTTCGACGACTGTGTGGTGCGATTGCACACGCCGCAATTTCACGACGCCTAATCCAGCAGTGTTCTACCCTCTACTCCCCTCTGCTCTCCCCTCCTGACGCTGACGTACGCTGGAAACGCTAGATTGATATCTACACTTCCCTAGTCGCTCGAAACGCTCAAAACGCTAATGGAAAGTAGGAAAGCGGCCTGAAAGTGCGCGCTACAATGCCAGGATTGAACATAAGTCAAGTGAAGACGACCATCTTATCGTGGTGCATAATCAATCCCAGGCAGATAGATTCTACAGACCTGTGAACCAAGTTTGTAGATGAAACTGAAGATTTCTTGAAAACCTTAAAAACTTGTAATTCCATCACAGGGAACTCACTTTCATCTTCTAATGGAATGCAAGCAGGTTTTCCTTCAACTGCATACCAGTTGCAATGAGGCAGTAATTTGCAGCTCCGACAGTCATTTGCCATTCCACAAGGACGAGGTGGTGAAGGATCCCGCGATGAGGAGCATTTCTCCCATGCCGTTAGCATCACCTAGAAGCTCATGTTGAACAAATTCCAGCGAACTAGACTACTGCATGATGGAGATAGGTTTTTCGAAAACCGTGGTGGTTTTCCCAACGATGATTCCATCCTGAGCCGCAACAATTGGCGGGAAAGCTATTTTGGCTGTTCTCCGAACCACGCCTTTTGACATGCCCAATCGTTTGCAGGGACCACGACATTAGGTACATCTT